CTTATATAAGCAAAATTTATTACTTGTTATTCAGATAGCAGAGTATATTTTTAATTTATATTACAAATATTTTTAAGCTAATCGTTAAGATTTATTTGTATATTACTTGTACAATATTGTATTAATAAAAGCATCTTTGTATTTATTTTAATTTAGAATATAAGTCATATAAGAATTCAATATAAATATTTTTAGCAAATATTAAATCTATAAAAAATTCTATAATCATATAAGTAAATACTTTATTATATATTTTTGAAGGATATTAAAAATATATATTTAAATACATCTTTGATTATAATAATTACTGTATATTAAAATAAAAAAATTTAAGTAATTTCACTAAATAATATATTATAAATGTGCAATGTAATTTAAATTACATTTAAAATATATTTCATCTTCTATGATATTTAAAGATTCTATAAATTTAAAATAAATAATTAATTATTTTTAAAATTTTTATATTTATAAATATTATAAAAATTATCTCTATTTTTATTAATTTCAGTTTTTAGAGTATCTTTATTTAAAACTTATTTTAATTTTTCAGTAAAATTTAATAAATGACTTGTATAATATGCTTGTGATGAGATTCAATAATAATGTTATTATTTAATATATTATTATCTTGTTTTTATGTCAATGCTTTATCTGCTTTGTATATTTTTTATCAAATTTTTTACTTTTAATATTCTCAAACTTATTATTAATAATCTTTTTAATCTCTGATGCAGTTAGCCTTTTTAATAGATCTTTATCCCAATATTTTTCCATTAAATTTATATAATATTGTAAAATATTTTTAATAATTTGAGGTCATTTACCTTTATAAATATCTAAATTATGATGAAAATCATAAGCTTTATTATCAAATAGAGAAATTTCAGATATAAATTCCCACATAATTATGGAAAAGCTATATATATTACTAGCTAATGTATAAGGTTGACTTTTTAAAACTTCAGGTATTACAAATAGTAAAACATTATAAATATTATTTTTTGAAAATGATTTACAAAATTTTATTTAATAAAAATAAATTTATTAGCAAGTAAGTTATTTTTATTAATTATTAATATTTAATAATACTTTTTATAATAATTTTAATTTAATATTTTTATTTTAAAAAATAAATTTTATTAGCAAGTAAATTACTTTTATTAATTATCAATATTTAATTATACTTGTTATTATATTTAAAATCTAACTAAATATTTTATTTAAAAAAATAATTAATAATACAGTAGATTGTAAGTTATTTTTATTAATTAGTATTTAACTATACTTTTTAGTATAATTTAAACTCAACTAAATTTTTTATCTAAAAAACTAAAGAACATAAGTTATTTTTATTGATTATACTTTTTACTATAATTTAAACTTAATTATAATTTTAACATTTAAGGCTAATTAATTTTTATTTAAATAAATATTTAAATCTAAATTTATAAATTATTTTTATTGATTATTAGTTTTAATTATACTTTTTACTATAATTTAAACTCAATTAATTTATTTAATAATAATTAATATAATAAACTGTAAATCAATTTCATTGATTATTAATATTTAATTATATTATACTTGTCACTATAATTTAAATTCAATTAAATTTCTATTTAAATAATATTTAATAATTAATAATGCAATAGATAGTAAGTTATTTTTATTGATTATTAGTATTTAATTATAATTTTTACTATAATTTAAATTTAATTAAATTTTATTTTAAAAAATAACAATTAATAATAAATAGATGGTAAATTATTCTTATTAATTATTAATATTTAATTATATTTTTTATTATAATTTAAACAATTAAATATTTATTTAAAAAATATTCAATAATTTTTAATGTAATAGATGGTAAGTAATTTTTATTGATTATTAGTATTTAATTATTATTTTTACTGTAATTTAAGTTTAACTAAATTTTTTATTTAAAATAATTAATAATACAATAGATAGTAAATTATTTTTATTGATTATTAGTATTTAATTATACTTTTTATTATAATTTAAATTTAACTAAATTTTTATTTAAAAACTAAAGGGAGTAAATTATTTTTATTGATTATTAGTATTTATTATACTTTTTCTGTAATTAGATAATATGTTATTTTTATTGATTATTAATATTTAATTATATCTTTTATTTATTTTTAATTTAATTAAATTTAATATTTAAATAAAATATTCAAAATTAATAATGCATAGATAGTAAATTATTTTTATTAATTTTTAATTAGTATTTAAATATACTTTTACTATAATTTAAACATAAACTAAATTTTTATTTAAAAACTAAAAGATGTAAGTTATTTTGATTATTAGTATTTATTATACTTTTTATTATAATTTAATGATATAAGCGAAAATGATATATATTGCCTATATCTGAAACTGAAACTGTCTGAAATTACTTTCATCTGATAATATAATTTTCTGATATTTTGAAATTCCAAAACCTATCTAATATTCTAAAACTTTAACTGAAATTAATTCATATATTCAAAATTTATAAATAATAGAATATTTAACATTTAATAAATAAAAATATTTAAAAATAAATTTAAATAGTTTATTTATTATATAATTATTATTAATATTATTTATATATTTATATGCAATAGCTTTTGGATACCAATTTTTATCTATATTATCTATAGTATCGCTATATTACTAATACTATAAATATTATTATTATCTACATTTTCTTATTTAGACCTAACATAATTTCCTTCATATCTAAATTTACTAAACTTTTAATTTTAAGATTTCTTCTTTTTCATAATTAAATTGCTAATTTTAGAAAACTTCTGCTTGTAAAAATTCATAATCATTATCTTCAAATATCTCTTAAACTTCAGATAGTACTTTTAGACATAAATTTGTCAAATGCTTTTCACATATTTTTGGTGATTCTTTATACCAATATTTTTTACAATAAGTATAAGTAGCATTATAATGTTTTTTTGAAATTTGTTAATTTTATTTAATACATGTTCTCTATATTATAGATTTTGTATTTCACTTTACTTTTTTTTATATTAATTGAAAAGAATATTTTTGTTTAGGTAAAGATATGGTAAATGTTATACTAATATGTTAGATTATTGATCCAATTTACGATAACCCTTTTTTTAATATATTGTATTATTATATTATAAATTTCCTTTAAAAAATAAATTATTTAAAATTATCTGAATGTAAAAAAATCAAAAAATTAAAGTTTTAAAAAAATAAATAAATAAATAAATAAATTACGGTTAAAACAATTTTAATCAAATAGTATTACATTTTAATTTATTAAATTAATTTATGAATTATAATTTCAGATATATCAGATAATATCAGAAATCTAAAATATTTTAGAATAATATAGGATTTTCGCTCAAATTACAGAATTTAGGAACTAATTTTAGATTAGTTTACAAAATCTGAAATATTTAGGATTTAAAATAGGATTTTTGCCATATTATTATTTTAAATAAAAAATTTAGTTGACTTTAAAATACTATAAAAATATAATTATTTACTAATCAATAAAAATAACTTACTCTGTTTTAGTTTTTTAGATAAAAAATTTAGTTGAGTTTAAATTATAGTAAAAAATATAAATAAATACTAATAACTAATAAAAATAATTTATGCTCTTTAGTTTTTAGATAAAAAATTTAGTTGGATGTAAATTATAGTAAAAATATAATTAAATACTAATGATCAATAAAAATTACTTATAATTTATTGTATTATTAATTATTTAAATAAAAAATTTAGTTGTAAAGTATAATTATATACTAATAATCAATAAAAATAACTTACTCCCTTTGGTTTTTTAAATAAAGATTTAGTTAAGGTAATTTACAGTAAAAGTATAATTAAATACTAATAATCAATAAAATTAACTTACTATCTATTGCATTATTAATTATTGAATATTTAGCGAAGATATACTTTTGAAGTTATGAATTTTTTGATGATTATTTCTACATTTATTCTTTAGTTATACAGATCTTCAGCAATCTCTATATATTTTGATTGATTTTGATAATGCATCTCAAAAATATCAAATTTAAAGTTACAAAATTTTTATCGGTCATAGGATATGTCACTAAAATTTTATACCAATTGTAAAAGCTCAAAAAACATGATGCATAAGATTTCTTAATTCAAAGTTACACAAGATTTTGTCACTTAATTTTGCGGGAATTGCTTTAATTAAGAGATCGGCACACTACATTTTCACAATTTTTATATATAAAAAAGCTAATTCATCACTTTCGCTTATATGCTAACACCAAAATCTAATTGTTGTAACTTCTTGCTATTTTAATATAAGTATAACCAGGACCTCTTCTTTTTAAAAGTCTATTTATTAATATTATATAATAATGATAGTTTTAAAGAATCTTCCATCGAAAATTTAAAATAAAAATCATATAATGCAGTAATTTTTAACAGTTTCTTCATATAAAACTCAAAATCGGAATTTTTAATCTACATTTTATCTCTAAGTAAAGTTATAGCGCCGATAAATTTACGTATAATTACCGAATTTTAGAATTATATACATAACGGATAAACTTTACGATTAACTTTTATGTTTGATTTTAAGATTTTTAGCAGTTCCTTCATATAAAACTGAAAATCGGCATTTCTAATCTATATTTTACCTCTAAGTAAAGTTGTAACGCCAATTAAATCATATATAAATCTAATTTCAAAAGAAGTTTAGTTTTTAAAAGACTGTACTTTATTGACTTAATATGAAAATTCTTTAATTTTAAATAAATGACAAAATGTTCATATAATGATAATTTTGATATTTTTATATAAATTTTTTTTTAACTCAAAACTAATGCTAAAATATATATAACGATAGCAATAAAAAAATTTAGTATTAAGGTTGAGTTAAAAATCAGAAATGTCAATATCATGTCTGCTTATGATGATTATTCTAATATATTCAAACACGTTACATATTCCAATCATTACTAAAATCTTTGAAGTTGCTTCAAAACTTCAACAGCCATATCTTCAGAAAATGAGTCAAAATTAAATAAATTTTTTAGTATCATTTTTTTATTATCTGTAATACGTCTACATTGACGTTTATATTCAGCCAAATCTTCTTGTTGCTATATTGTGTTATCTTTAACCTGATCGTCTGTCAAAGTATTATTTATTCGCTATTTATGTATTTTTTGCTTTGATTTTCTGATAACTTATGCACTATTACATCACGTTTACGATGACCTTTTGTATTTTGAGAATCAATTTTATAAACATCTTAGTGTTAAATTGCAATAAGTCAGGATATATTAAGATTATAGCATGTAAATATTTTTGAAAACTCTATCAAAGTTATTTCTTGTACATTTAAAAAAAGTTATTGCATTTTTAGATCTACTAAAGAAAAAGCAGAGTGTAACTCATTAGCTAACTGCTATAATACATCCTTTTGTGATTGTGTTGCTCGTTCTTCTCTGGCTGCAACTATATCCCTATATATTCTGACATTAATAAATCTAATCACTCTTATTCTGTCTATATAGAGCTTATTTGCAACTTTAATTCTTTATTATCCATTATTTTCCCTCCAATATTTGTTTTACAAATTTGACGCTAAATCTTTCTAATGCTTCATAAAATGCAAAGTAATGTCTAGGATGAGTGAGATTCACAAAATAAATACATTTAAGCAATTCTTGAAGATGTGGATCATCTTCAATATATGTCAAAAAATATGTTACTGATCTAGTATAGTTACCTTTTTCAGCAACTGAAAATAAAGATGAAAATGCCACAAGATTTCTTATTTGCATTTCATAATTTTCCCACTGAATACTGAGTTTATGTCTTATCCAATAGCCAGCCTAATATAAATAATGATACCAAACTTTGAGAATATTATTATTTCCACTTTTAATATCACTTATTGTTTGATTTTTATTGCGTAAAAGTTTAAATATTGCGATTCTAATGGTGATCCAAATTAATTTCAAAACTCAACAGGTAGCCTAGTAATCTATGACTTTTTCTAGTTTATCTAAAAATTAGACACCAAGTTTTGTAGCTATATTGGCAATACCATAACCTGAAAAAATATTTATCAATGTAATACACATATGAGAATTGTGTCAGGACCCTGAACAATATATGTATATGTTAGATTTGAGATTGCTTATTGAACATAGAAAATTTTTGATTAAGTCACC